TACACCTGTTTCTCTTCTCTTTACATTTTACAAGAAAGTCTTATCAATAAAATAGACCTAAAGGCACAACCAGGATAAAAGTCGTGTAAACGATCCCCTTCGTTCTGTAGGATAGAGTCCCTTGTAGGCAAACACAAATTTAGCACTCTCGTGCATGGTAATCTCCAGACAAAAACGCTCAAAGGGCCTTGCAAGATTAGCTGTAGCAGCTGCAATGACTGCATTCCCCAGCAGGCTGTTGTCTGGCACCCTCTCATCTATAGCGCTCTCTCGCCTCATACTCTCCTCTCCGCGCTTAGTCTCTCATTCCCTTAGCACAGCCGATTAGGAAGGTGAGTGAGCCCTCAACCTAAGCGTTTTCGACGGATTCTTTTCCTTTTTTCTTCACTGCCGGCCCATTTCGCACCATACATTCGCATTCATGCGCGAGAACTACACCAGGTTGATGGGGCATGCCTTTAACTTGTACTTTTGTTGGATATAGTGTGTTTATAACTAAGGCATTGATCGAAAGACGTGGTGGAAGTTGTTGACCATTAATCGCACCTAATGATCATATTGCTACATCAAATCTAGTCCACCCTCCCTTCTGCTGCCGGGATGGGTTCACTGATACCTGGCTTGCACTGAAGGGCTAAATCACTAACCAGCGTGTTTGTCGCAAAACCCTCAGAAGTCATAGTTAGGCCAAACATTATTCAATAACCGCTATGTTATGGAATGAATGCCAAAAAGTTATGGCGCCGTTCTGAAAACACACGAGATTATTCTTCAACGGTGCATCCTCATCAGTGAGATGCCATTTACCTTTCATTATCACTATTTTTATTGCCAATTTATATTTTGACTCGATTCAAAGAGCTTTGTGTGAATTCTCTTTCAGCTTATCACCGCCTTGGGATGATGCTACCGATGTCAGCGAAACCGATGTACAGTTCTTCTTTTCCAACATCTACAGTCAATTCCAAGGCGCTGTCCAATACAGTGGTGATAACACTGGGGTAAGACTACAGAGCAATACAAGAATTAATCAAGGTTCAACTGATGCTCCTTGCATTCCACCTCCAAACGTTANGNNNTATNCNNCGTATGTACACTGCGACGCATAATTATGTATTTCCACCTACAAATTTCCCAAAAACTTGCAATCTGAGGATGTTTTTGAAAAAGGCTCTACCGACAAATTGTGACACATATAAACGCGAATCTGAATATTAACACGGAAATCCAGTTTGAGAAAGCAACAACAATTTTTATCCTCATTTTTTCGAAAATACCCGCTTTGCCTATGACGCAAAATCATAGTTCCACCTCATGTTTCTCTCCGCTGCATTTTGCTTTTACCCAATCAAATTTTGAATTATTACCCATTCAAGTTCCTTAGCTTATAGCAAAGGCAAAACCGCTGTCAGACTTCCGTAAAAGGAAAATCCTAGCAAAAGAGACGCAGGAATTGTCGAAGTGTCAGCTCACTGGAATTTGTCGGGGTGACTTCATAACGAACAAATTTCTCAAGGATGCTACTGCAGTGTAAGATGGATTCGTGGCAGCGACGTAGGAATAACCCTTTCAAACTGTGCTAGAGACAAGTAGAGAGGAAGGTTTATTTAGATCAGAAAAACCAACAATAATTATACAAACAACAAAGATCACGGGGCGATCGGAGCGGGTTGTATCGATGGGACCGGACCACAAAGCCGAGGTCAGCGACCAGGTGCACGGCGCAATCACTCTTTAAGCCACAAAGGCTTTCGTCCCCGCGCCACTAAGGCTCCTCCCAACGGCCACTAACGCCAACTCTAGGTCACTCAGGCCAGATCCACCGAGCCACGAAGGCTCTTACCTTTCAGCCACGGCTAATTCACCGAGCCTAGGTCCTCCTTCCTTCGGACCTTACGGCTCCCATCTAGCAAGGCTGCTAGGGCACCACACAGATGCCTGAAGACGGCAACGCTGAAACTGGGAGAAGAGACAATTCAGTTGATTCCTGCATAAGGCAGGAACTACCGCATCTACGTTTGGAACTGGAGTATTACTATGAGGACACGGCTCCCTTTTATTGGGACCTCCCCGCGCCAATCATTTGCCTTCGGCGAGGCGGTTTCCTACCACCCATGATCACCAACCGCCTCCTCCTCGACCCACCGTGCTCAGATCAGCTGATCATAGCTGATCTCCTAAGGCATGCATGTCTCTCGCTGACACTACAGGATATGATACTGGGAGAAACCCTGATCATTATCCGATCGAGATAAGTGCCGTTATCGTGAGACATATATAATAATACAATTTTATCCAGCCGGTACGGGAATTAAAACTTCTTCGACAGTTAATGTCTCAAAGGATGGGTTTAACGTGTTTTCCAACATGCTCGTTAACAGTCCATCGTCTGGAAAATAAGAAATACACTTTTTGAAAAGAGAAATCAGAGAGAAAAACGAGCCATTTTTCCGAAAAAGTTTTTTCGAAGTGGAGCAAGTGAGGACACTTTTTTATCTGTGATATTTTGGAACTTCTGACCATACTCCTGATCTTTTTCTTCTCCATGTTTGCTACGAAACAAAAAAAACCGATCTGAGAAAGAAAAACGTTAAGAGAAAGAAAGACGCAAATCAAAAAATCACAAATGAAAGAATGTCACTGAGGAAACGTAATTCAGAAAACGGCTCGTTTTTCTCGTGACTCCTTTATAAAAGTGTGTTTCTTAATGTCCTGACATGGACTGTCACGAGCTTGTTGAAAACACGTGAAACTCCATTGAGACACTAACTTTTGAAGAAGTTTTGATTTCCGTACCCGTCTGGATAAAGTCGTATTATTTTCTCACGATACGGCGCTTATCTCGGTCGGATAGTAATCAGGGTTCTTCCCAGAATCATATCCTGTAGCATCCTTGAGAAACTTGTTCGTTATGAAGCCACCCCGACAAATTCCAGCGTGAGCTGACACTTCAGACGCTGAGACGACGTTCGACAATTCTTGCGTCTCTTTTGCTGGGATTTTCCTCTTATGGAAGTCTGACAGCGGTTTTACCTTCGCTAGAAGGCTAAGGAACTTGAATGGGCAATAATTTCAAAATTTGATTGGGTAAAAGCAAAACGCAGCGGAGAAACATGAGGTGAACTGATGAATTTGCTGTCATAGGCAAAGAAGTAGTTACGAAGTTATACGAATAAAAATGATGCTCACCCAAACTGGATTCCGTGCTAGTATTAAGATTTGCGTCCTATACATATGTGTCACAATTTGTCTGTGGAGCCTTTTCCAAAAAGACTGATGATGGTGATGAGACCCAGATACAAGTTTTTGCGAAATTTGTAGGTGGAACTATAATTATGCGTCGCATTGTATTTTTATACAAATCTTGGCACACCAGTGAAGTTCACACATTCGCTCCTGAATGTGTGAACTTCATTTGTGATAGAAAGCTCATTATGAAGTCTATTTTCTCCAGATTGATGTGTGGAATTAAACAAGGAGGACAATTTTGAGAACAAACATGATACTAGCTTATTGCTCGTGGTCAACAAAATCAGGGATACCACTTAAGGCGGAGTTTACCTTGAAAGGCGCCCGATTGAATCAAGGTAGCGGTCAGTCGTGCCGGGATAAAGGAAAAAAAACAAGAAAAACAACTCCAACCTCGAGAAATGGGACCCCCTTTTGCCTGATGATTTCCTCGTTGATGCAACCCTCACAGTGCTGTTATCTTCAACGCTAACGATCTCATTGCTAAATGGCTACAGACCTGCTGCGAGTGGTTAGCTAGTCGCTGTGCGTACCGTGCCGATAGCGTTGTTGAGAGGGGGAAGGAGGTGGCACTAGATCGCTGGGGGCGTATTCTTTGCTGCGAATTGTGTGTCGGTCAACACGATTAGGAGATTGCCTGTCTTTCCATTCGGTAAGTTTCTCCTGTTGGGACCTTCGACCTTATCGTAGAATCGTTCCACCTCGGAATTTGACCACGGGATGAATCCGTTCAGTGGGTAGGATAGAGTTGTTTGTAAAGGTCACCTATGCATTGTTCGCAGGGCTCGAAAATGGGCGTTGACAACGCTCCCGAATTGTGGCCGCGAGCGGTACTCCTACCACTGGTTATACCGGTATCTGCGCTCTTTCGTACGACATACTATATCACGTTTTCACGCTTCTCTGCTCGTCATGTCTCTCCGTCGTACATTGGCCGGTTTTGAGAAAGACAAGCCATAGTGGAGGTGAGTTGAGAGTAACGTAAGCCATCCCTCACCTAACGCTTTTCCTCCACGGCTTGCTCTTACACTTTATTTTTCGCCGCCAGACATGTCTTACAATTAGGTACATGCTTGGCAATAAAGAGCATCAAACAGCATCGATACCATCAAAAGTCGCGAGTGGAATCGATTTCCTCAAAAATGAATTCGAGTATGCTAATATCGTTACTATCGATAAGGTTCCCACTGCACCGCTGTGCTAATTCAAAAAAAGCCATTTGGCAAGTAATTGAAATTTCTGCAACCTCTGGAATTTCCTGTCTTATTTTTTGTCCTTCCACAAATATACACAACTCACTTCCCTCTCCCCCTTCCACTCGCGCCTTCTCCTCGATGGGCTGTTGTTCTGAGGGTGGAGTTGGAAAATGTGTCAGGTTGGACCAAGATTATTGTCCACACTATTAACCATAGTTCATAGTAAGTGGGTGAGAGTATCGGATGGATGGAATCGGAAATAAGGTTAACATAGTTGAACTTTCCCTTACCTGTGTGCTCGCACTTATTTGCTAGGCTTTAAATAACTATACTGATCTATATATTTTAAGCTCTATGCGTTTGGACATGGCATTCCTGATATGTGTTCCTTCATGACCAACAGTTCCAACGATCCAATCCAGAACATCGCTCTCTTCAACGAGTACATGACGGTCTTCTATCAGGTAGTTTGCTTCTTTAGAAAGGGTTTCTACCTTTTAAGAGGGTAAAACTTCGTTCAGGGTGGTGGTACGTTCAACAGCACAGAAAATAGCTATGCAGATTTCATTGAGTACCTGCGGACCTCGCAACAATACGGTCCCGGTGAGTTTTGCTTAGTTCCAATCCGTTCATCTGCGCTCGTATTCACTGTTCAAGATGCGGCTGCATCGACTTTGTGGACTTGGCAAACCTGCACCGAATTCGGCTATTTCCAGTCCTCCTGATTCCAGTTACAGCATCTTTGGGAGCCCAACTCCAGTGAAGTAAGTGGTAGTACTGAAATCAGTTTCGGAAAAAGCTATTTTTGGTGCTGTAAATTGACGTTTATTTGAATCAATGGTCGACGTCCTAGCCTTAGCTTTTGGGTACTATAACCCAAAAGAGTGGGTTTTGGGATAAAATATATAAGATAATACACTGCTGTGCAAAACTTAAGGACGAGGTGGAAGATGTGACATAGCCTAAAAACAACTTTGTTGACCTTGCAGGGAATCCTTTCATTTGCATTCTGTACTATATTGTAGTAGTTCTTTTTGTGCATACTTAGGTTCCATCAGTCCCTGTTACTCGGCAGTGACATATCACGGAAAAGTTACGTTCGTTCTTGAGTTTTGCACACCGGTGTATAACATTTCCTACCACACGGTTCATAAGCTGTACCACTTGTGCAGCCGTGAGTGTGTGCTGTTTTATAAACTACCCCATCAATAGCTGAAACCCTTACTTGGACTGTACTGGGCGAAGCTGCATCTGAGGTAATGCAATGGTTGCGCGTGGGCGGAAACAGGGTCGTGTCATTAATGAACTCTGGGGGTGTCGTCGAACCGCCTCCCAACAGCCATTCAACAATCATCGACTTTGGGCGCCACCGTAGTTGAGGTGTGTGAGGGGGGGGGGTGGCGGGGGGATGTGAGGGGGTAGGGGAGAATGACAGCAGTCACCGCCACGACTTGCGGCAGTCCGCATCCTCTCAGCGCGATACTGTGAACTTAAACCATGATTTTGTTTTTTGGTTAATTCAAATTTCATATAATTACACTTTACTTCATTTGTTACACACTCCACCTTTTCGCACATATTCAGGGTTTCACCCCTCCCCTAATCTGCCTACACCTCTCTCTCCCTTTTCGACACACGTACTCCTCGCTTTGCAGTAAAGAGCACAAAAATTCCGCGCACTGCGGCGACGATTGGCCACTCAACGTTAGCACCCGGCCTGTTTGCGCCTACCGTTAACCAGGCACCTCTTGAGGGCAGGAGAGTGTGGTCAAACCGTTACCCATTTCCCGTGTATCAATAATGTCTCCCAGTCATCCCAGCCAGTGCTGTAAGAATTCATTCCATCTGGACGTAGCTCTACGCAGGGTGGTACTGGGTCGGTCGAAAAGTACCCCCGTTCTGCACTTCGAGTTTTTATCTGCATTATTTGGGTGATTTCTTTCGCAACTATTCAAGCAATTTGGGTGTCATCTTGTAGAGGAAGATCAGCCCTTTCATATCCATACGAAGGTTCGAGGTGATTCCGAGAACATTTGTCGTTTTACCCTTTTTTCGGATAACGCAAAATCGTGATTTCGACTGTTGGCACCTCCTGGCTCCGAACTTGGAAGAGACACAACAGGGTGACCGTAATATGGTGACCGTCTTGAGGGCAAATGTACCCAGGAAACGCTGCGCCAGATTAGCTCGTCACATGTGGGCCTCGAGAGCTCGAAAATGGTGCACGTAGTAAAAGGAGGATATGTATAGAGGATTGCACAAAAAAAGCGAAGGGAGCTCATCACGGACGCCAAACATGCTGATGTCAGACTTGCGAATCGAGCGAATCGCTGGATACGAGTGATGCACCAGCGAGCTGTATACCAGCGAATCGAACTTGCACCAGCGAGTCGAACGATGTACCAGCGAGTCGAACTATGTACCAGCGACTCAATAGTGGCGGGACCCAACGTTCAAAGGAAGTCCCACCACTTTTGAACAGTGTCTACTGTCCAGTGTCCTTCGCTGGTGCATCGTTCGATTCGCTGGTACGCAGCGCTACTAGCTGTTGCATCGCTCTCATCCAGCGATTCGCTCGATATGCAAATTCTGACATCGGCCTACAGGTGTGGTAGGGGAGGATGGAGTCTCTAAGACACCGTACTCAGTCGGGTGCACGCTGTGAGGAAGGAGGAAAATGTCGCCAATATATTCATGACCCTATGTTTTCAGCTTGAATCGTTGCTGCGCTGAAGAAGGTGGTTAATCGGACTCTTCACTGCAAGAAGGAACCGTTTCTAAGATGGGTATTAGTGTATGATGAAACTATGGTTCCGCACGCTAATAACGAAAGGGTTCTCAGATTGGTGGTCGAAATTGGCTGCTTCGAATTATTTCAAGTCTAAAGGTTGTGTATCAACAGAGTAGTGGTCTTTCAAAGTATAGTAGTTCAAAACGGCTGGTACTTTTGAGCTAAACTATTCCCTCTTTACTACGTCTCTCTACTGTGCACGCTAAATCAGCTGTATAGAGCTCGGAATGCCTGACTTGCATTAAGCGATGCAGGCACCAAATTGGGCAAGTGGCGACGTCAAACGAACACTTTGAAGGGCTAATTGATCCATATAATCTTTTCAGCATGTTTACCAAAATGTGCACAGACGTGTTCGGTGAAAAGTACACTGCGGCTGCTATTCAAAACAGCATCACCAGAACGAATCATCGATACGGTGGAAAAGAGCGCTATAGGCATGTAAGTATATACACGTTGTATGCTGCTGATGATTACAAATGATTACATACTGAGTGATTTTGCTCTAACAGTGAGGTACTTAGGGGACAAACGTTGTCATCCCGAATGGATCCGTGGATCCTTGGCATGCCCTCGGCAAGTACACCTCCAACGATCCGTCCGTAGTTTGGTATCTTATAAACGGTAAGTGTACAAAGGACAAGATTGCACTGTTGCTCTTTCCTTTACGAATGCGCCACACATTGGACTTGTTCGTTTGAATGGGTCTGTAACTTTCACCCAGCCCAGCCTATGTTCAGCTCAGGACTTATACTTACCGCACAGGTAGAATGCCAGACGTCGACTGAAAGGTTTCACTTAGCATGGCCGCACAATGTAATATTCGTCTTGCGAGTTATAACGGCGCCATGGATACTGTTCCACCGTTTAGCTAACCGATTTTCAGGAACAGCTCACTGCGCTGACATGTACCCAGCCCGACCGGAAGATGTACCTGATCTCGCTAATGTGCGACGTCTCATTGAGGACAACATCGCCAAATGGATTTCTGGAGCACCAACATCCACTCCTCCCGCACCAACACCCACCCCGCCCGTTTCACCTACAACGAAGACAACGAAACGTACAGTAAATCCCATCCAGCCCAGCTCAACGACCACTACACCTACCGAAAATCCTTCCAATGATGGTAAGATCAGATTTTCGTCAAAGCGTTGCAACCCGTTTGATGTATTACAATGTAATTTTCAGGTTCCTGGGTCATCGCTCTGTCCGTTTTATGCTGGACCATCGTTCAGTCCCTTTTGTGATGAACGCTTTTTCTTCAAAATACTCAAAAGACCTCAAATGGAAGAAATATCAAATTGTTTTGTGATTTTTTTTGCAAATGTTGCACAGATGTTTGTTGTTTATGTTTATGTAGATCAATAATAAACATTATAGGATGTACTCAATGAAGCGTTCCCATTATCCTAAGAAAGTCATGAATATAAAGACACAACTCACTACTATGTAGATCACTGGAATAAGGCCCAACCCGATGAGGACAAAGCTGTCCGCAAGTGCATAGGATGTATCAACTTCACCACACAAAACCGCATGCATACAGTGCGTTTCATAACTATAAGGTCACCCTAAAATATTGCATTTCCGGGACCAGCAGCCAACTGGTGATTTTTCCACTATCACCAAATGATTCCCCACTACGAATAACCCCT